TAATCAAACTGAAAAATAATAATGATAATAATAATAAATAAAGTTAAATAAAATAATTCTAAAAAAAAAATTAAAAACTTTGTCAAGTTCTATAAAACCCCTGCTCTGTACTCTTAAAATACTCTTGACTTCTGCTCCTTGTTTTGCTCCTACATATCTGGCTGCTTTTTCTCAGCTTCTTTTCTGGCTCATCCTTGTCAACCCGATGCTTAAGTACTGGCACCTCTCGTGAATCTGTCCCAGGCACTGGTCCCTCCTCTGCCTTGACCTCAATGACTCTCATGGCTTCAACAACCATGTATACTCTGATGCCTTCTAAAGGAATTATCTCTGGCCCACTCTCTCCTCCAAAAATGAGATCTGAATATGCAACGGCCTTCTCCACCCTTCCACCTGCTTCTCCCAGGGGCACTTCAAGTCGGTGTGTGTAAACTTACTGGCTTCCACCTAGTCAAACCTAGTTCTCTTCCACTAGGTTTCTGTTGGTAATTGGCATCACCCACCCAGTCTTGCTAGCCAGAATCCTGAAAGCCAGCCTTCTCCCTCACCCATTCATCTTCTGGATCTTGTCAATCCCACCTCTGGAATATTATGGGAGTTCACCCTCTTTTCACCATCTCCACTGTCACCCACTGGACCAAATGTCATCATCTCTTGCTTAGATGACTTCAGTGTCTCCTAAGCTGTTCTTCCTTCTTCTGCTCTTACCTATCCAATCACTTCTTCACAGAAGCCAGAAGAATCTTTTACATATGTAAATCTTATTACATAGTTCCCTATTTTGAATTCTTTGATAGTTTTCATGTCTTTAGAATAAAATGTAAAATTCTAGAAGACTCTCCGGGATCTGGATTCTGCCTACCTCAGCAGCCGGAGCCCATTCTACTCTGAAAAGTCCTCCTTTTGCACCCTCCATCTAGAATGCTCTTTCGTCGCCTCTTTTCACAACCTTATTGCATTCACTGATACAAGTGCAGTTTGGGATAAACCCCAATGGACAACACTAACTCCCTGAGCAAATTCTAATTCTGTCAAATAAGTTCAACTGATCACGTCACAAGGAGGAGGAGAAGATTTCCACAAGTTGGCTCGAGGGTAAATGTAATGATTTTCTACGTCCACCCCAAGAAGCTTCTTCCTAAGCTACCTGGGCTCTGGGGCACCCGCGGCTGGATTTGAAAGTGGGAAACACATACCTTTCTCTGCATTCTGAAAAGCGAAGTGATGCTGGGCGGATGTGCCGCTTCCCATGGTTTAAGTGCGATGTTCCTACAGGTGCAGAGAGCAAATCCACGCTCAGTGAGCTGTGTGCTGACAAAGGAAGCGGGAATCTGCAACAGGGAGATTCAGGCAGAGTATTAGTTCAAACGGATCAAATTTTCTATAAGTCACGCGAATGCATGCTCCAACCCTCCAGTCTCAGTGCACAAGGCCTTTCTTCTCCTGAGAATTCCCTCCACTTGTCATCCCATATCGTGCCTGTCTTTGGCCTTTCAACTGGTTTTTTTTTTTTTTTTCAATATTTTATTTAACTTTATTTATTTATTTTAATTTGACCAGAGAGGAAAAGGGAGAGAGGGGGTAGAGAGAGAAAACCACCGGTCCGGGACTGGAACCATGGTCCAGCGCCCTTAACCACCATGCCACCTGCCAGCCCCTCAATTGGCTTTTTCTTTGCAGTCTAGAAACATACTGAAGTCTCTCTTCTTCTGCATTCTCAAGCAATTCTTCATTATCACCGTCATCATACTCCTTTGACCTGTAGCCAGCCAACTGTTACTCTTCCTCTCCTGTTCTCATCCAAGTGTCGCCTCTTAAAAACATCTTTTTTATCGTCACTATTTAAGTTGATGTCTCTAATACCTTCCTCTTTCCAGTCCTTATCTTGTCCGAACAGCACAGTGTGATTTTCAGGCCCCCAGTTCTGGGATTCCAACAACAGTTGCCATGGGCACTTTTTTTTTTTTTTTTTTTTTTTTTTTTTTTTTTTTTTTGCTGTAGGGAACATGTGTTTGCCAGAGAGACAGAGAGAGACAGAGAGGGAGAAAGTGAAAAATCACCCTTCGGGGGAATGGCCATGCCTTCTCCATTCTCCTTTCAGGATTTTGGGCATGCATACACACATGCCCAGTATGAGTTTTAAGCTGCCGGGTCCAGGACTCAAACCGTGGTCAACTACATGGGAGTCCAGAGATATAACCATTATGCCATCAAAGACCT